CCTTCCCCTCTCCCCCCGCCCCACGCCTCCCCCCTCTGCTGCGCCGCGCTAGGCTGGGCGGGGAGGGGAAGACGAGCCCCCGGGGGATGGGGAGCTTGCTTGGTGCCCTCTGGCAGCGTTACCGTCCCCCCATGCATTCCCGGAAAGCTCACGTGCATGCTCAGCGTTAAATCTGAGAAGGGGCCTGTTTTAACCCAAACCGTCCGCCTTTTCCTGATGTCCGGCTGCATTCGGCCCGTCTCACACCCACGGGACAGGTCCCACGACGCTGGGCCGAGGGGGACCTGCCCGCGGGCCTTCCTGGGGTCCCCACAGCCCCATCGCTCCTGCCCCTCTCTTACCATCCCATCGGAGCAGCTGGAAGTGGGGCTGGTCGGTTCGGAGCAGCTCTGTCCCGGCAGGTGATAGTAGTTTTCTACTTGTTCCCTCAAGAGCTCCTGGAGGCTTTCGATGTATCTGATGGCGTTTCTCAGGATCTCTACTTTGGGGAGTCTTTGGTTGGGGTTGGCAGTGGTGCATCTCTTCAGGGTCTCAAACGCCTGGTTCACTTTCTTCAGCCTCCTCCTCTCCCTCATGGTGGCCGCCTTCCGCCGGTCCATTGTGGTGGATTTTCTCTTGCAGGCTTTGCAAGCCCACATGAGGCAGTGGCCGGCCTGGTGGTGGCCAGTGGGAGCTCGGACATGCTCCTCTTCCTCGGAGCAGGCGGGCTCGGGGGGCTCGTGGGCGCCGAAGGGAGGCAGGTCCCTGGGCTCGAAATCCTCGGGGAACTCGCCCTCCGGGGAGGAGAGGCAGGAGCTGTCATAGAAGAGCTCGGAGGGGGAGAACTGGCAGCTGTCCATCACCTCCATCCCTGCAGCGGAGGCGTCAGTGTGGGGCGGCAGCCACCGGCTCTCGGCGAGGCGCTCTGCAGCGCGCTGGGGCAATTTCCTCAGTAATTAGCGACCTGAGACGAAGTGTCCTTCGGCTGATGCGGGGGGCCCTTATATATACATGTAAAGGGAGGCTGGTCCGCGGCGGCCAGTCTTTATTAGCATATCCCACCACATCCCCTGCCGGGGGCTGTCTGGGCAAGCCCCCTCCAGCCTCCAGGAGACAATTTGCTCCGCACCGCTCCTTTGGAGAGCGGTGAGCTGGGCGCTTCTCTAATGTGCGACCTCCCAAGAACCGGTTGCGACCTCTCCGAAGTTTAAACCAGGTCTGGGAATTTGCAGTTGTGGTATGGAAAGAGAAAGAGGGGCAGTGGCCGCGCACGAACCGCTGACATTTCCTGCAGAGCCGTTCCTCGTCCCTATGTTCCCATCTCCCATCGCACGCCGCAGCGGGAGGGACGCCGGCTCTCCCCGGGGGGGATTAACGTAGACACCACCACCAGCCCCCCAGCACCTACAGTGTCTACTTGCGTATCTTCGCTCCCCACAGCCCGTGGTCCAGGTCTAAGCTGAAACAATTTATCCCTCTTTTCAGACCTAAGATTCGTTCGTTTATCTTGGGGAGAGTTTTGTCCTGTAATTAAAGCTGTGGCACCAACCGTTTAAATTTACAAACTAGAGGACAAAAATGCACAGCTTCGTGTGGCCAGGAGAGACGAGGAGGGGGGGAAGCCCAGATTTTAGTGCTGTCGGATCGGGTGGCAGGGAAAGGTACTCACGAAAGAAAAGTGTACGTATTTGCTCCGAGACAAATCCCCTTCCCATTCTTTCTCCTACTCGTGTGACCTGGTGCTGCTAGAGACACAACAGTCGAGCAGTGCCTTGGGCTTGCTAATTTTCTGCTTTCAGGCAAACTTGTACCGTTACAGATGCGTCCCAGCTGCCAGCGCAACAAACCCCTCCTGGAAGTGTAAAATGTCTAACCCCGCAATCCCTAAGTAACTTTACACAAGTCGGGGACAAAAGCTTTGCAGAGCTCCAGCCGCAGCAGTAGCTGAGCGGAGCGGTGCAAGGGTCATTAGAGTGGTAATGAAGCCATTTAACAGGCATTTGCTAACGCGCAGGAATCCTTTGGTTTCATCCAGGTGGCTTTTGTAGTTGAGGAAAATATTATGAGAAGGCAAAGGAAACCTTCCCTACCTGGGAATAAAATTATGTGACCTAGGTTAACTCAAACGGAGAGCAAGTGACCCAGCCGCGGTTCAAACGCTACGGAGCCGGTCTGTGTGCCCAGGAAAAAGGCGTCTTCAATTAGCCTCTCTTCAGGAAGAGGTAATGCGGAGGGCATGTCGATCCGGTTGTCTCAAGGAGCCGCTCTTCAAGTGAGCAAGGCGGGTAGGGAACACCTCCTTAGAGAGGTGTCCTGCACAAGCGCACACCGCTGGAAAGCCTTCCGATCCGCCCGGAGGAGGCGGAGAGCCGTCGGGAGCTGCGGCTGGGGCAGGGGCTGAGGCTGGAGAGACCCCATCTGCTCCCTGTCGTGTGTGTGTCCGTGTGTGTTCCCTCCCCCCCCCCCAAAAAAAAAAAAAAAAGCGGATTTCCACTCTTAGGCTAAAATTTTTCCTGAAGAAAACATGCACAGCACACACCCTTCTTCCTACGAGCGGATACATAATTGTCCAAAGGCTGGGGAAGGCTACATCTGCGCTGCTTCGGTTTATTTGGGGCCATAAACGGGGGGGAGCCCCCTTGAAATGAATACTGTAGGAAAAGCAGAAAGTTGATAAAGGAGTAAAGTTACAGAAAGGGGAAAGCTCAGAATTTCAGGTTTCTGCCGCTCCGAGCTGCAGGTTGCTGTTTAGTTGGGCCACATCTGAAACACGGCAGTTCCCTGTTGTTTTCCTAAGAAACCGTCCCTCAGAAGGGCTTCTGCTCGGCAGTAACTTGAACTCTTTACTGGGCTGCGGCGTGCACAGGCACAGTTTGATTTACCACGTTTGCGCTGGCTAAAATAGACCTGTTTACAGATTTATGCTTTGTGCACGAATAAACTTCATCTTTAAAGCGCCGGTAGCAGTTCTGTTCGCCCTTCGGGGCTTTATCTCCAAGCATGCACCGTGGAGCTCCCGGTGCACAATGCCAACCCTCCGGGTCCCGCTCTCCTGGAGTGCAGAGCTTTAGCTCGCAGCTTTAACTCCCGATCCAACGGGGCTGGGGTTGTTAAGAAACATGTCTTTTCCCAAAAGTATTTGAGGAGCTAGGAAAATTTGTTTCCTTTTTCCTTGAATATTTTGGGGGAAGGGGAAGAAAGGATGGAAGAGCCTGTCGCTCAGGAAGAAAAAAATCTGTAATTAGTATCCCTTAAGAGCCCCCGGCTCCTCTGGTAAAGTGATCTCAAAACAAATTTGCAAAAGTGCAGTAGGCGAGTGGAACTAAAGAAAAGGGAGAGAAAACACAAACTACAAGGTTGGCTAATGAGGCTGCTGGGGAGGAC